CTTCAGGTCGGGGACGAAGAGAACGTCGTGCAGCACCACCGGCTTGCCATCCGCTCCCTTAAACGCAGCTCGTCCCGCACCAGCCACCTTCAACATGTGTCCAGAGGCGGAGCACACTTCATTGATCGGTGCAGCTCGTACTTCGTCCAGCAGGTCCTTGCGCGGTGTCATCGTCCAAGCAGCGCCTGTGTCCAACACCCAATAGTCTAGGGGGTGCAGCTCTGCTCCAACTTTGGCAGAGGCGTCTCCTTGCTCCCCCTTGTCTCCCACATGGAAGAATTGGCCCGCGGTGCGCTCCTTCTTCTTCTCCGCACCGCCGTTGCCCTTCGGGTTGTTGTCGGACGAATCAGCGACCATGTTGGCGCCGTTTTTCTGGTTCCTCCGCGCGCCGCCATCCTGGTGACGATTCTGGGGGGTCCATCCATCGGGTTTCTTATAGCACAAAAACCAGGGGTGCCCTTCCTTCTCACAATACCAGCAACTCCCTTTCATTTTGCCACCAGCACCCGACTTGCCCCCACGTCCAGATTTCGCACCGCGACCCCAACCGGTACCTCCTTGTTGGTCGTTGGAGTCGTCGTCTTTCTTTGCACCGCGTCCAGCACCACCGAAGCCACGTCGGCTCCCTTGCATCCCGTAGCCGCTGCTGCCGTCGTCTCCACCCCTCAGTTGGCGGCGACGGAAGTCCTCCTCCAGAATCTTCGTCCGCACCCACTCGAGCGTCCACAAGCTCTGGTTCTGCGGCAGGCTCAATCCGCTCGTAAATTGAAGCCACGATTCCGGCAGCAGCGAGAGCATCTTCAAGCACTTGGTCTGCTCCGGGTAGGTGATTCCCGCGGTCGCCAACTTCGCGTAGAGGTCGCGCATCTTGTCCAGGACTGGTTGCACCGGCTCTCCCTCGCTCAGGCGCAACGCGGACAGCTCCCTCTCCAGCATCAACGTTGCGACAACGGAGGTCGGGGCGTGCAGCTCCTTCAACACGGTCCACGCCTTCGGACCGCATTCAACCTCCGGCAGCAGGTGCATGACGTGGTGACGCTGGTTCAGCTCCAAACTCTGCGACATCAAATAGTAGCCAGCCGAGGAGCGCTCGTCCCAATCTTCCTGCAGCGTGGGGTCACTCGGTCTAGGCTCCTCCCCAATCATTAGTTTCAGCAAACCGATCTGACGGAATTATAAATTAGCTTGAGTTTATTAGGCCATTACACCAACAGGCTGAAGGTGTAACCCTGAGACGACCGCTGAGTAGCCTGGTCGTCCGCCCAAGAAGCGTCTGAGTGTCCAGTAAGTACAACTCGGTCTCGCCCTCCAAGCACTAGCCCCATGCCCGACGTACTGCACAAGTAGCGCAACACCCTCTTAGCGGCATCCATGTGCTCCTTCCTGTGACGGCCAGGAGCGACATAGCGTGCAAGGATGCTAAGAGGGTATGCAAGGTCAGGTCGAGTGCAGGTCATCAGATACATGAGGCAGCCCACAAGCTCTGGATACGGGCCACTCGGCTCTACGGACTCATCCGAAGGCAGAGCTGAGAGCGAGTGACCGGTAGGCAGAGGAGTGGACTGAGGCGAGGAGTACGTGAAGCGGAAGCGCTGAAGGATCTGCTGCACCATGTGTGACTGAGTCAAGGTGATGGTGCGCCGTGCTCTGTCCCGGGTGATCCGCAAGCCAAGATAGCTTGTCAGTTCACCCAGGTCTGTGCACGTGTGTCTCCTCTGCAGCTCCGACTTTACGTGGGCGAGTGCCGCGGTGTCAGCAGTGGCAAAGACCAAGTCGTCGACGTACACGAGGATGTAGAACGGCGGCAGTGAGGTGTCTGTGCGTAGAAACAGTGACAGGTCAGCAGTAGAGGGAGCGAACCCAAGAGCCGCAAGTGTCGTCCTCAGTGTGTCGTGCCACTTACGCGGTGCCTGGCGGAGACCGTAGACCGGCCGCTGAAGCCTCCACTGGGTACCAGGAGGAACCGACCCAGTGAAGCCAGGAGGGCGGCGCAGCCAGATCTCCTCGTGCAGGCTGCCCAGCAAGAAAGTAGTGCTGAAGTCAAGTGAGTGAAGCTCGTAGTCGCGCTGAGCGGCTATGTGCAGCAACACCCAAAGAGTGGTCATCTTCGGGGTGGGGGAGAAGGTCTGAAAGAAGTCAACTCCCTCTCGCTGACTGAAGCCTCGAGCCACGTAGCGCGCCTTGAAGACAGGAGGAGAACCCGGTGGCCGCTTCACCCTGAAAATCCACATGCCACTGACGATGTTCGCCCCAGAAGGGGGAACCTCGTCGACGTAGGTGCGTGTGGACTTCCAGGAAGCCATCTCTGCGTCCATGGCTGTCTGCCACTGAGAGGAGTAGGGACCCGCCATCGCCTCAGCGTAAGTGCGCGGGGTCGGGATGTCTGGTGCATCCGGGTCTCCCTCAGGGGCAACTAGCATGGACACGAGGTGGGGCAAAGCAGCAGCAAAGCACTGGAACTCCTCCTGTCTATCCTCAAGGACGTCCGTGCCAAGAGCACACTCACCCCCGACGGACGGAGGACAGACAGACTCAGACTCAGACTCAGCAACAAGGCCAGTGGCGTAGTCTAGACGACAGGCAGCAGCAAAGTCAACTAACTCAGCGACCAGAGAAGACGCAGCGGTGGACTCAAAGGTAGGGTCAGTGACAACAGTAGCGAGGAGACGGGTGACAGTGGGACTGGCAGCACGACGGGAGTCAGACTCCGGGTCAGGAAGAGTAGGCAGAGAGGAAGCAGGAGGAGACGGTAGCGGGACACGCTGAGGAGCAGTGGAGGGACGCAGAGTCATGTAGTGAGTGCCAGGGACAGGAGGAGGACGCTCACGTGGGACACGACGACCAGTGCGAGCAGTACGAACAGGCGACGCAGGACGAGACTCAGGCTCACGACGCTCTGTAAGACCTCCCGTGGGACCAGTGTAAGGAGAGGGAGCAGGGAGAGGCGAGGCAGGCGGTAACTGTGACGGCGACTGGACAGGCGGAGGACACTCTACTGAGGGAGGAGGACAGGGAGGAGGAGCCTGACCAAGAACCTGCTGAAGAAGTGGTACGAAGTACGGTCGCGGCCGCGTAGCGTCTCCAGAACCAGCAGAGACACCAGCGGCAGGGTCCTCAGCACCAGCAGCAGCTCCAACGTCCGGGTCCTCAACACCAGCAGCAGCTCCACCGGCCGGGTCCTCAGCACCAGCAGCAGCACCACCGCTCGGGTCCTCATTCCAGCAGTAGCTCCAACGCCCGGGTCCGCAGCACCAGCAGCAGCGCCACCGCTCGGGTCCGCAGCACCAGCAGGAACTCCACCAGCCGGGTCCTCAGCTCCAGCAGCAGCTCCACCGCTCGGGTCCCCAGCTCCAGCAGTAGCTCCAACGTCCGAGTCCTCAGCACCAGCAGCAGCTCCACCGCCCGGGTCCTCAGCACCAGCAGCAGCTCCAGCGCCCGGCTCCTCAGCACCAGTAGCAGCGCCACCACGCTCGGTCCTCAGCACCCGGAGGACACTCCGAAGACTGCAGCGGCGTGTGTACCACTCTCGGATCTGCTGAATGGGGGGGAGCTCCTGGGTAGGAGGGGAAGTACCGGGACGAGCTCCAGCAGCACCTCTCCGGAGGCGGCAGTACTCGAGGTACCTCTCCTGCAGCTGCTGGGAGGAGAGGGCTCCTCCAGGTGTAGCACGCTCAGTCTCAGCACCCCCAGACTCAGCACCCCCAGACTCCGCACCCCCAGGCTCAGCACCTCCAGGCTCCGCACCGCCAGGCCTCGCACCTCCAGGCTCAACACCCCCAGGCTCCGCACCCCCAGACTCAGCACCCCCAGGCTCAGCACCCCCAGACGCAGGACGAGAGTCAACAGCTACCTCGACAGGCTCACCCGGGTCTACCTGGGACACACCTGAGGGAGCGGCACCCTGAGGGGGGAGGGGGTCTGGTACCTCAGCACCTGGAGCGAGGAAGAGAGGCGGGGGGGGGGGCGGGAGACAGTGCGGTAGGGGAAGAGGCGGTAGTAGGGGAGAGGACTCGTCAAAAGTGACGTCCTGAGAGGCCAGGACACGACGCGAGGTGGGGTGGTAGAACTGCCAACCAGGGGCGTCCGGGACAAAGCCAAGGAAGACGCAGGGGACAGCGCGACGGGAGAGCTTGTCCGCGGACGTGTCGCGGACAAAAGCTCGGGATCCCCAGACCCGAAAACGCGACGCATCGCCAGCCTCTCCCGTCCAACGCAATGTCGGAGAAGTCTCGGGCAAGGAGACACGGGGCCAGAGGTTGAGCTGATGCGCAGCGTATCGGACCGCAAACGGCCACAGAAAATGGGGGGCAGCCGCATGACTCAAGGAGGTACGAGCGACCTCCATGACTAGACCAATGCGGCGCTCAGCAAAAACCCATTCTTCTGCTGTGGAGAGGCCGGAAGCGTGAACGACTGCTTAATGCCCTCCTGCTGACAGAAGGCCTCCAGGAGGCCAGAGGAAAACTCCCCACCTCTGTCAGAGTGCAGACGCAGGACAGGAAAGTCGGAGCGGAAACGCCTGGTGAGCTGGAGACGAGATCTGCGGATCCAAGGGATCAAGACATCAGGTACGTCACCCTTGGCTCGCAAGGGGAAGACCGTGGTGTAGCGCGAGAAGTCGTCAACAACGAGCAGGAAGTACCGCTCCTGACCCTGTCCACGGACGCGGGCTGGGCCCCACACGTCCAAGTGGAGCGTCTGCAAGGGAGCAGTCGTCGGGGGAAAGGAGGAGGAGTGAGGAGCGGCGCGCTGCCGTCCCTCGACACAGGGAATACAGGGAGGAGCAGGCGAGTCGGGAAGGGGAGGGAGCACCCTGGGAAGACCAGCAACAAGGTCCCGTTTGTGCATGGCCCGAAGGCGCTGCACAGACGGGTGACCAAGGCGGTGGTGCCAAAGGACAGTCTCATGCGCCAGAGAGCGACACGAGCAGGGGGCGGACAGCTGACCTGACGCAGACGCAGACGTAGACGCAGACGCAGCTACCTGAGGGGACTCAGTGGTCAGTGTGTACAGGCCGACCCCGGCTCTCGAGTGAAAGTAGCCAGGTGGCGACCCGTCCGAGCACACGTGCAGTGTGTCACGCGCTCGTAGGTAGGGGTGAACTGGTGAACACCCGAGTCCTGGAGCGCACAACCCGCCACCAAGTTCGTAGAGAACGAGGGGAGGTAGAGACCTGAAAGCGTGCCGGACGGGACCGCAGGACAAGGAAGAACAGTGGAGGAGGTCGCAATGACCGGACCCCCAGAGGGGTCAGCAAGGGAGACAGCAACTGGCCGAGCGAGTGGCTCAAGGACAGTGCGGAGACAGCAACTGGCCGAGCGAGTGGCTCAAGGACAGTGCGGTCACGAAAGAAAGAGCGAGAGGCACCTGAGTCCAGTATGAAGGTGTGCAGTGCTGCAGTCAACCCAGTACCAGGGGGCACGGACGCACTAGCACCTAGGGCAGCAGCCTCACCAGGACCTGTGGGAGTAGACGCACTAGCACCTAGAGCGGCAGCCGGACTGGCTTGAATGCCCGGGTCGGGCGGAACACGCAAGTACTGAGCACCCTCTCCACTAATAGACATGGCATACATGGCAGTGAGAATAGCATCAAAGTCTAGAGCCCAAATATCGACACCCCTCTTTTCCAGATCAGCCCAGCGCGGCAGCTCAGCGGCATCAGGAAACCGCTGGTGCGCCACGCGTCGTTAAGGCGCACGAAGCAGCGGTGCGTGGGGTGCGGCCTCCCACACTGCTGGCCGCTGCGGTCACCTGTGCGAATGACGTACGTGCAGGTAAAGCCACGCTGCGCATACCACTCACGGGCGGCCTGAAGCGTCGGGGCGGGCTGCTGACTCGGGCCTCCGCCAGTGCCTCCACGACCACCACCGCCACCACCACCGCCTCGGCCACCTCCACCCCTGCCGCCGCCACGACCACCTCCACCTCCGCTGCCGCCTCCACCCCTGCCACCGCTCCCGCCGCTGCTGTCTCCTCCCCCACTGCCGCCACTAGCCTCCCCAGTCGCGCCTCCACTCCCACCGCCTCCACCCCCACCTCCTCCGCCACCACCCCCACCCCTGCCTCCCTTGCTCCTGCGGCGCCCGCTCGAAGCAGACGCGGTCCCGACCTTCTCAGCACCAAGGAGGTCGACAGCAGCAGCAGAGGCGACAGAGGGGAGGAGGGGGGAAGGGGAACACCCCTCGAAGAACGGGGTGCGGGGGTCGCCACGAGAGGTGCCTACAGCGACGATGCTCGCCTCAGCTGCAAGCAGTTCCTTCTCGAGGAGGGCAACAGTGAGCTCAGTGGGGGAGCGAGAGAGGAAGTGGTCCCTGACTGCACGCAGAGAGTCAGGGAGGCGGGTGACGATGTGGTAGAGAGTGATCCAGAGCGGGGGGGGGGTTGCTAGTGAGAAACTCGGCAGCCCATAGCAGCGCGAAAGCGGGCCTCACTAGTCTTAAGGTGGGTGATGAGGTCTGCGACAGTGTGAAAGGAGGCTAGGTCGGGGAACAGGTAGGGGAGAGTGAGGCGGCCTAGCGTAGCAGAAGCGGGTGAGGAGTAGCGGGCAACTACAGCGGTGTAGAGGTCCCTAGCAGTCTTGCACTGGCCGAAGTGCTCGCGCTCGTCTAGCGGCAGGGAGTTGCGAATAGCAAAGCGAGCGTGCGCATCACGAGTCTGCCACTGAGAGCGTAGAGTGCTGTCAGCAGACGTGTCAGGGGCAGTAGCATGGCCTAGGGCGTGGTCGTACAGCGAGATGTCTTCCTTGGCAGGTGCAGGTCATCTAGCCAGGTTTCGAACTTCACCGGACGGCCCTCGGCATCGAAAGCTAGAACGGGAGGACTAGCCATAGTGACAGTAGTAGGAGGAGGAACTAGGCCGCTGGAAAGGTGTGCGTAGGGTCAACGGGACCGGCGGGGCCGCTAGGTAAGGCGCGGGCGGGGTCGACTGTCCGTAGTGGCACACGAGCGGCAGGAGTAGGGAGCGTGCAGAAGAAGCTGCAAGGCGCACTGGTGGCAGCTGCATTGGCAGCAGTGTGCGCGGTAGGTAGCGTAGGGGCAGCGGCGGCGCAGCGTGAAGCGGCGGCGCACGGCGCAGCAGTGCCGTGCAGGGGCGACGGCAGGAGGCGGCGGTGCGCAAGCAGCAGCGGAAGCAGCGCACGGGCGCAGGGCTGCGTATGCGGGCACATGCGGCAGTGGCAGCGGGGCTCGGGCAGCTGCGGGCACGGGGCGTGCGCGGAAGGCGACGGGCGGCGCGGGGCGTGGCGAGCAGGCGACGGGCGGCCTGCGGGCGTGCGCGAGCAGGCGACGGCGCTGCGGACGGGCGGGCTCTGGCGGATGGCGGGCTGCGGGCCTGCGGGGCGTGC